TGTTCTACAGCCACTCAGGACCACAAACCACGTCCTACTCTCCTTGGTGACCTCAGGCCCTGCCCCACACCCTATCAGGAACCCCAGACATGCCCTCAAACCCAGGGGGACCCCATACCATGTATGCAACATCCAAGGGAATACAGAGCACCCCCATCAGGGACACTAAACCATACCTCAACTTTCAGGTGGACCCCAGACCACATCCCAACCTTCAGCGACCCCAGATCATACCCCAACATCCAGAGATGATCCAGACCATATGTCAACACCTAGGGAGACCACAGATTATGCCTTACTCCTTTTGGGGACCCAGACCATGTTCTACAGCCACCCAGGACCACAAACCATTTCCTACTCTTTCTTGGGGACCCCAGCTATATTCTTCCACCCTCTAGGACCTCAAACAATTCCCTGACTCCCAATAGGGACCCATGACCATGTCTACATTCTAAGAGTCCCAAATATGTTTCTTGTCCCCATGGGAGACCCTAAACTTTCCCCATTATCCCCATTAAACCCAGACCATCCTCCCCTCCAAGGCACCCCTTGGTTTCCAAAATCCCCGATTTGCCCCAGATTCTTTCCCATCCTCCCCACCAGTCCTGCCCTTGTGAGGATCCTGCTTCCTCACTGTTCCTATTCTCTCTCTTGGACCCTGCAGACCCTTCCCCCTTCCCTGTGACTTCAGTGATGTCCAGGGTTCCTTGTTTCTTCCTTGTTCAGAACCCTTTGCCCAATGGCCCCATACCCCTCCCTCAGATCCCACTATCTCAAGCTACTCTTCATCTCTTTCTGAGATATTCATTGAGACCCCAAACCCAGCAAAGTCTCATTTCAAAATCTGTCTAATGGCAGTCCCTCAGATCCCTGGATGCCTAAGCCCTTTCAATTTTGGATCCCTGTGTCAAGGTCCTTCCCCAAACCCCTTCCCTAAATTCTTCCTTGCTATGTCATCACATGAAGCCTGCCCTGTCCCTCAGATTAAGGGTACCTCTGCAGAGCCTCCCTCTAAATGAACGTTGACCCTACTCACAACCATTAGATATCAGCCAGGGACACTCACAATCCTCCCACCCCCAGTCTCCAGATTCCACCATTACCACTACTGTCACTGCCACCTCTCATCCTGGTTTCTGGTGCTCCCTGCCAGAGCATGGAGGTCCAGATTGGAAAAACAGAAGTGGGAGAATAATAACAACAGGAAAAGTAGACCCAGCACTATTTGTGCCAGAAATGGTTCTACGGCTTCACACAGATTATTCCATTCACTCTTCACAGCAGCCAGATGAGGAAGTGTCATCACCATCCCCATTTTACAGATGAGGAAAACTGAGTCACAGAAAAGCTTTAGTCACTTGTTTAAGGTAACAGATTGTAAGTGGCAGAACAGAGTAGAGGGGAAAGTGGAGGTGAAGGGGAAAGAGGGTGAGGGCAGGCCTAGGAAGGACAAGGATGGAAAAGGAGAGGATGAAAAGAAAGATAATAAGAGAAAGATAATAATAAGAGAGACAGAGATATACAGAGATGGAGGAACAAAGAGCCTGCACCTAGGCAGAGGCAGCCTCACTCACAGAGCATACCTGGCCCTGCGAGCGCTTGGCCTCATCCCCAATCACTCTTGTCTTCTAGCCTCAATGACTTTTCTGTTCCAGCTCATCCCAGCCCTGGGGCCTTGGCAGTTTTTCCCCTTCCATGGCTGAGTCCTTCTTTTCATACAAGTCTTAATGAAAATGTAACCTCTTCAGAGAGGCCTTCCTTTCCTGTTCTCCAGTTGATACCCCCACCCCCATCAATGGTCCTAATGTCTGTGAATTACTCTGAAATACATACAAAGTAATTTGATGGATGGATAGATGGATGGATATGTGCTAAAACAAGTGCAGTAAAATATGAATGATTGTATCTAGGTGGTGGGTATATGGGTGTTCAGTGTAAAATTATTTAGACTTTGCTGCATGTTTGAAATTTTTCATAATAAATGTTGGGAGAGAAAAAAAAGCTGGAACTCTTCTAGAGACTAAAGAGGCAACAAAAAAATTGCCCAAACAGGTCCCATCACTTCTATCGACTATCGTATCACCTCATTTTACTTCCTTCATAGCACTTATCATTCTTAGTAATGACCTTGTTTGCTTATTTGTTTACCTATTTATTGTTTACTTATTTGTTTATTGCTTATTGCCTAGTCATTGAAATGTAAGCCTCCTGAGGGCAGTGGCATAGGCACCAATTTTCTCCAGTGTCCAGAAGACTGATTGGCAGCTAGTGGGTGCTCAGTAAACGTGTTCTTGAATGCCTCTTGGGAGAGGACCTGGAGTTAGGTCTGCTGCACACTCACTGCAGAGGCCACACTCAGGAATAAACATCATCTCCCAGCCTAGGGTCATTAAAAGGGAAAGGGTACACCCCAGCAGCAGGGGTGTGCCCCATAAGGTCAGGGAGTGTGAGTTGGCCTGATAAAGAGGACAACAGGAGTAAGAAGATAGTGTGATTGTTTCCCTAGGGCCCTAATTCCTGCCCCAGACCACCCTCATTCTTCCACAACTTAGGTCCCACCCTCTGTCTCTAAGGCTCTGCCCTAAAGCAAAACCCTCAGCCTTATCTGATCTAAGCAAAGCCCAAGTGTAGGATCCATCCCCAAGCCTGAGCCCCACCCCTTAGACACCACCCTAAATATATAATATGTATCCAGACTCCTTCAGCCTGTGTCCCCAGTGGCAAATCTCAGCCCCACTCCTCAGCCCCACCCCTCTATTTTAGGCTCTATCCCGTAAGCATATATATAGTTTTCAGCCTAGGCACTGGCCTGCCTCTCATGCCTAATTTGAGTCCTCCATTCTCCACTCCCCCTAAAATCCAACCTCCACCTCTCCAACCTAAGCCCTGCTTACATTCTAGGTTAGCAGGGAGAAGTGCCCCAGGGAAGGCCTAGGGCCTCCATTCAAAAATTAGGGAGCTGGGATCTGTTAGAACCCAGAGAGAAGGTTGGTGGAAAGAGAGGAGGTGGTCCCTAGTTTGTACCACCCCTCTAAGGAGTGGCCTCAAACCCAAAACCACGCCCCATTTTGCTGACTCTTCATTGGATAGTGTATTCTGTTCTGACTTCTCTGATTGGTCTCTGTATAATCCTTCTAGCCAAACCTATTCTGCCTTGGGCTGCCCCTCAGAGTCAATCTCTCTGATTGGTCCCTGCTTTCCAAACTCCCTTCTCCTGATTGGGCAACTCCTTGTACATGCCCCTTTCTAATTGGATTGTTTGCAATCATAAGCTTGGATGCAGACAGAAATTCAACAATTAGGGAAGAGGAGAGATGTGGAAGGAGGGAAAGGTGGGAGTAGAAGAGGAGGAGATGGTTCCCTAAATCCCATGCCTAAGAGAGGGCGTGGCCATTGGCCACAGGAAAGCCTTGAGTTAAAGTTCTATTATAACTGTACAGATCCCTAGCTGTGGGACTTCAGACAACCATTTTTAGCTTCTGGGCCTCAGTTTCTTCATCTGTAAATTGGGGATTATAATGGTACCTTCTTCATGGGGTATTAAATGAGTTAATACCTGTAAAGTGCTTATAGAAGTACCTGGCACATAGGAAGCCCTCAGTCAGAGTTAGCTACTATTATTAATTTGGTCATGTAAGTGCATGACCTTGGACAAGTCCTTTTACCTCTCTGACCTTTGCAGATGGGGAGTTACCTGACCTTTTAATTCAATGACCTCTCTCCTATCTCCAGCCCTCCTCTTCTTCCATCTCTAGCCATCAGGGATTCAGGCTATGATCAGAGTGGGGTATGTGTATGTGTGGAGGGGGTTTGAGATGTTCCTATCAGAGAGATGGGTGGGACACCAGGACAGGTGTCAGAGAAGAGGAGCTCAACCCAATCCCTCCCCGTCCCTGGGGGGAATTTCTTTATGACCCAATATAAAGTGATTCTACCCTGAATCTCTCCTGCAAGTGCTTGTCCTGATTGGGGACAAGGGGACAAGGGATGGGCAGAGTGGGGTGGTGAGCGGATGGTATGTTCCAGCTGGGAGGGCGAGGGGAGGGTTAGAGCTGGGCTTATGTATCCTCCCCCAGGAATGGCAAGGCTGGGGGAGGGACAGCTCAGGCCCAAGGTCACAGTGCCATTGTTACCGTGGCAACGGCCATGGTCTCTACAGGGAACCTGGAAAGGGGTGGGAGAGAGGGAGCTCCCAGGTCCCCGAATTTGAGGACTGACAGAAGAACTGCGACATGGAGAAGCAGAGAGACAGAAAGAGTGATTTAGATCTATGAAGACCTGCCCATCTCAGAATTTTTAGAGCCTGGTACACTATGGGTGCTCAATAAATGTCCCTCAGAGACAAAAACAGGGAGCCTGAGAGAGTCAAATGCTCAGAGATGCTCGAAGAAAAAAAGAAGACTCTCCAGACAAGGGTGAGTGGGATGTCCCTTTCCTAGCCCCTCACCCTTATACCCTGGGCCCACTGAGGCCCCTGGATCCTCTTTGCCTTCCCAGTCCTGGGCCCTCAGGCCTACCCAACCACACAAACCACCCACCCCAGCAACTCTTGAGCCCCTGAAGCAATTATGTTCGATCTTTCAACAACTCTTCTGCCTTTAAATTCTTCCTGCCTGGGGGGGCTCACTGAGAAAAGTAGCATTCAGTGTAAGCTAATGCCTGCGAGCCCCTAGAGCTGGGATGGGAAGGGAGGAGGAGGGGAAACAGGCACCCACCCAGGTGTCCTTATGCCCCTTGGGAGTGGCCCCTCCATGGATTCAAATGTTCCCCCCAATTCCTCCAGGAACACCGACCTCTTCCACACACTCCCTCACCCCCCATCTCCCCAAGGAAACCCTACAGGCCCCTCCCTTCCTTTCAGAGAAACAGGTATCCATCCTCCTTTCCTCCCAGGACTCGTCAGGCATCCACTTGGTCTGCCTGCCCTCTGCTGGCCCATGGATGGTACTGCAGGGACTGTCCGCTAGCGCTCACAACGAGAAACAGAAACTGAGCCAGAACTGAGTTGTTGGATTTTAATTTATTTAGGGTCTCAGGTGTTCAAGTCCTAGGGATCCGAGTCCCCAGTTCCTTTGGGAAACTCAGACATCATGAATTCAGATCCCCAGCCCAGAGGTCAACGAAAGAAAGACAACTTCTCTTTGAGCCAGGCCTCGGTGAGGTCATCAGTGGTACGGATTTCAAATACCTGAGCAGGGAGAGTTCTCATTATTATGATCCACTCAGGAACTGAGACAGTGAGGACTCTGGCCCCCTCCTCTCTCAGACCAGGGGTCCAGATCCCCAGAACCCTCCTCCATCAGACCCAGGAACCGGTCCCCCAGCCCCTGCCTCCCTCAGACCCAGGAGCCCAGACTCTCAGATCCCCTCCTCCCTAAAACAAACTCAGGGGAACCTCCACCCCAAGCCCAGACCTTTGTGAGCTCTGCTGTCTGTACCAGTCTGTTTTTACTCCCTGCATACATCATCTGTTGTTCCGGCTTGCAGCCTGTGTGGAAAAGAAGAGAGTATAACTGGGGGGCCCTGGAGTTTTCTAAGGGTCCTAGGAGCTGTTGTAACAAGTTCCTGGAAGCTATACTCAGTTTCTAGTTTTGTCTAGGGGCTTGAAGCTATTCTGAAGGTCTCTGGAGATGACTGAGAGGACAGACAAGAATTTCTAGGTAAAAGGAAGAAGTAAGTTTGCTTACACATCTGTGGACTGAGAAAGATGTGTGGGCTCTTGAGGAATCTGCACCCCAACCTCTACCCCACTGCCCTCCCAGTACTCACACACCACACCACATATGTCACCCAGTCAGATACTTGCCAAGTCTCACACACACACACACACACACACACACACAGAAGCACCTACACTCACACAGATACATATATGCACACTCTTACACACCCCCCACACACTCTAAGACCCTCTTCTCAGGAAGGATAGAGCTGTGTCTCACCCACGGGACTGGAGAAGATGAAACACAGCGGGTAGGACACTCGGCCATCTGCGTGCACATACTTGTAGCTATAAACCACGAACCTACACCAGCGAAAGGGAATTCAAATTAAGGACTTCGGCCTGGAGCCCAAGCCCAAAGCCCATTACCTGAGTCCACAACCTTGAAATCTTGTCTCAGTCTGAGAACCTAGGGTTAACAACTAAGACCCAAGTACTGGCCTCAAACACAATAAATGATCAAAAATAACAATTATAGTAAGTGTTAAATAGAATTACCATATGATCTAGCAATTCCACTTCAGGGTATTTATCGAAAGAAAATGAAACATTAATTTGAAAATATATATTGCACCCCCATGTCCATTGCAGTGTTATTTACAATAGCCAAGATATGGAAACAACCTAAATGTCCCATTGATGAATGAATGAAGATGTGGTATATATACACAATGGAATACTATTCAGCCATATAAAAGAATGAAACCCTGCCATTTGTGAAAAAATGGGTGGACCTTGAGGGCCTTACACTAAGTGAAATATGTCAGACAGAGAAAGATAAATACCGTGTGATCTCACTTATATGTGGAATTTTAAAAATAAAAAAAACAAGCTCATAGGCAGAGAACAGATTGATGGTTGCCAGAGGGAGGGGGTGGGGTGGACAAAACAGGTGAAAGAGGGTCAGAAGGTACAAACTTCCAGTTATAAAATAAATTAATCATGAGTATCTAATGTATAGCATGGTGACTATAGTTAATAATACTGTATTGCATATTTGTAAGTTGCTAAGAGTAAATCTTAAATCCTCATCACAAAAAAAACTGTTTTTGTAACTATGTATGCTATGTATGGTGACAGATATTAACTAGACTAATTCTGCTGATCATGTTATATGTCAAATATACCTTAATAAAATTTTTTCAAAAGAAAAACTTAATGGCTGAAAATATTAGTCAGTGCTTATTTGACTAACAAAAACCCTATGATATATCTGCTATTATTATCCTCATACTACAGATGGGAAAACTGAAGCCCAGATAGGTGACGTCACTTGCCCAAGGTTCTATGGATAGATTTGAACCCAGGAAATTTGGTGCTAGAGTGTAAGTGTTCAACTATTATGCAATAGTGTCCCACACGTTAGAACCCCAGGCTGAGACCAGGCCCAGCTACATAATTTGCCAAGCTCAGTACAAAATGAAAATGTGGGGCCCTTTGTTTAAAAGGCGGGAGAAAAGCTTTTTCCTTTCTTCTGCAGTCTCTTCCCAGGCTGATCTTTTTAAATTTGCTATTTAAAGTCATGCTGTCTTGGGCATGGGGACACTTGCAGGGGGAGTGTGGGTGCTCACAGGTGAACCCTGGAACTTGTCATGCAGGGGGTGTGTGCTGACCCTGGCCCTGACCCTCCCCAAATCTGCACTCAGACCCCCTGCCTGGGGCAGAGGGCAGCAGCTGCCACTGGGCATTGCAGGGAGTGGGTGGCTGAGAACCCATCCAGGGCTGGAGGTGGGACCCCATGTGAGCCAAGGCAGGCTCCAAGCCCCCAACACATGCTCCATTGTCCCAGAAGACTTCACACAACACACAAATTCAAAGATAAACCCATAAAGAATTTCCAGACAGCAGGCAGCCACAGAGCGTTCCATCCCCCACCCCCGCCCATTCAAGGTGCCCTTCTGGGTATGGGACCTTGTTGGACTGCACTCGTCAGATGCCAGGGAAGCTGGTCCTGGCTGAGAACTAGCGTCTGGGATGGAGGCTCAAAATCCTTGGGCACCCAAAATTCACCCTAGGTGAGATGGAAAATCTAAATAAACCAGTTTTCATAGAAGTGTCAAAGAGCTCCTCCACACACAAAAGGCACCAGGCTCATGTGGCTTCATACAGAATTTTCCCCAATTGTTAAAGATCAGGTCATTCTTTTGCTATCTGAGGTATCCCTCAGCATTGAAAAATAAGGACATTTTCCTTTTTTAAAAAATGAAACAAAAGCAATGTTGAGGCCAAAACCTGACAGTTTGTATTTTAAAAAGCAAGTTCTAATACCATGTATGATTATCAGTATAAAATTCTGCAATAAAGTATTACTATACTGTACAAAAAGTCCTAGGGTAAAAACTCTTGGCCTCAAACACAGATCCCAAGCCCATGAATAGGACTGGAACCCAAGCAGTCCCTCAGTCTCCACCGCCAATATCACCCCTTTCCCCTGGCCTGACCCTCCCATTCCTTCCCCAGGATACCTGGGCTGTCTCTCTGGCAACTCCATTTTTAGTTCCTCTGGAGAAATGTTCTGGGGTGGGGGTGGGGGGGACAAAACAGGAGAGAAGAAAATACTGCCATTAAATAAGCATTTATCATGTGCCAAAGCACTGGTCTAAGAAACGCACATGGATTATTAACTCAATGAGCTCGCCCATAACCCTGTGGCGTAAGTCCTATTATTATCCCTACTTTACAGGTGAGCAATCTGAGGCCCAGAGGTGTTTAGACAGGACTGCACAGCAACTCTGAGCAGCGGAGTTCAAATTTGAATCTGGGTTTAAATAGTAATACTTCACTATACTTCCTTTCAGAGGACCTGAGGAAGCCCATCTCCTAGCCAGTCCCCCTCCCCTGTCGCACAGTCCCAGCCTCAGTCTAAATGGACACCCCTTAAATCCTTACCACAACACTAGGAAGTAAGCTTTATTATTATCCCCATGTTACTGATAAAGGCAGTGAGGCCAGAAGGGGGTGAGGTCTACCCCTTTATAAAGGACTTCCGCTAGCTTGATAGCTTATCTGAAAACTCATTTATCATCATTTTATTGAGTATATACTATGTGCCAGGGCTGCTGCTAAGCCCATTACAAAGATTAAATCATTGAATCCACAAACAACTCTATGAGTTGTTATTCCCATTTCACATAAGGAAACAGAGGCCCATACAGGCTACCTCTCTCACCTAGGGTCACAGCTGAGCTGGGACTTAACCCCCAGATCTTTCTGGTCCCTAATGCCAGGCTCTTAGCATCAGTTCCAGCCCCTGGTCTCTCAGTCCCACCCTTTGCTTCTTGGGGGGGGTCCCATCCACCCCAGTCCCTCACCTGAAATTCTTCCTCCAGCACCACCATCTGTCGGTCTTTGTCCACCTTCACTGTGGAGGGATGGCACACAGGGGTTAGCAGCCCCTCCCATTCATGGGTGACACTTGCCCAGCCTTCCTTATTTGTCCCCAACCCCCTCCCATCCTTCCACAGGTGTGGGAGGGGGTGGGGGTGTGGGGGAGTGGGCGGGTGGGGGTGGGGAAGTGGGGGGGATGACACTCACTTATTATGGCTGCGTTGTCTGTCTCTTTTCGAAAACGGAATTTCCTCAGCTTTTCCTTTAGCTCTGGGTCCACCTCACACACCACCAAGGAGTCCGACTGTAGAGGAGCCCAGTAACAGCTTAGCTGGCCTGGCCTCAGCCCCTGCCACCACCACCCCCACACCCCAATCCTCAGTTTCTCCATCTACTAATGAAGAGGAGCACCCCCCGATAGTCTCTATGAGGCCTTTGTGAACATGAGGAAAAGGCATCCTTTCCTTGGGCCGACACTACCCTCACCAGGGCACACACTTGGGATGTAGAGCAGAGGCTGGACTCCAGCCCTCCTAGGGGGTACCCCTGGGCAACACTCAAGGAGACCCAGGGATCTGCTTGCCTGGGGCTAAACCCGGAACCACCATCTCTCTTCCCCCAGCCTGGTCCTTTGCTGCAGTGGGGTCCCCTTCCCAGCCCCTGAACTCCAACTCACAGCCTGACCTTCACCCAGGTGCCCTCCCAGCCCCAGACCCACCCCATATGACCCCTGGCCCCCTGACCATGGCTTTTCTGTCCGCAGGCCTCTTCTTTACTCAGTTCCGCTGTCTTCTAGGGGTGGGGACCAGGGCTGGGGGGCGGGGTGTGGGGAAGGGGAAAGGTTTCATGCAACACCACATCCTGTTTATGGCCATTCTGAGACAACTGTTGCAGAGGGCTCCTCCCCCTCCTTCCTTCTCCTCATCTGCCAAGACCTCCCAGCCTTTGCAATCACCTAGCCCGGGGTTCGAATGCTACCTTGCTGTGTGACCCTAGCTAAGTAACTTTACCCCTCTGATGCAAGATTGTTGTGAGGATAAAAGAGCTTCTTCGCATGTCTCCTGGCATGGTGGACACACTCAATACACAGTAGACAATGAGCTCTTTAGCTCCTCCCCTTCTCCAGGAAGCCTTTCTGCATTTACCCCCATCTATTATAGAATATTTTAATTCCAGAGCTGGAAAGGGGAGCTTAGAGATGTTTGCTGGTCAAACGGCCACCTATTATATTGATGAGAAAAGGGAGAGGAGCGGAGATGCCACAGCACCAAGGTAATGGTGAATTTTTTCCTGGAGTTATTCAGCCTTATGGGCTTTATAATGGGCCCTATAACAATGGTATGCAATCTTGTCAGACCAATACCCCCGTTTTTATTAAGAGCATTTTGTATTGCTTTCTGCCCTATCCTGAAATGAAATTCCTAGATAATGTAATCTACTTATACACATGATGTTTAAAAAATCAATATAATGTCCTGTCATATAAAGGAGAAATAAGAAGGAAGTAATTTATAGGAAAATTTATATGTACTTCAGTGAGAAAATATAAGCACACAAAAGAGAATTTTCACAAGTCCCAGACCCACAATGGCTGACTTCTCTCCATAATAGTGGACAAGGCTTTCTCATCCCCCTCTGCCCTGTACTAAATCCAATCCTGTCACCCACTCAAGGGCATGGCTGCAGCTATTCTCCCTCTCCCTGCATTATCCATGTTTCTGTTTCTGCTTGATCTTTCCCTCAGACTACACGCAGTGGTCTCTCTTCCATCTTACAAACTAAAAACCCTATCTCCGGCCCAGCCACTGCCCATTCATTTCCTTCCCTTTTCAGCAAAACTTCTCGAAAGAATTGTCTACGCTTGCTGCCTCCAATTTCTCCTCTCAATTTTCTCTTCTACTTTCTCCCAGCAGACTCTCACTCTTGTCCCTCTACACTGACCAGGCCACCAATGACCTCTAAGGGGCTGAATGGATCTCATGGTCAATTCTCAGTTTTCATCCGCCATGCCCTATCAGCCACATCTGACACCGTCCATAGCTCCCTGCACTCTGAAACACATTTTTCACTTGGCCTGCAGGACGCCAACCTGGCCAGGTTTTTCTCTGACTTCTCTGGCTGTTCCTCTTTTTAACAGTGAGGCGTCCCAGGGCTCAGTCTTTGGTCCCCTTCTCTTTTCCATCCACCTTCCTCACTTCCTGATCTAATCAGTCTCGTGCCTTTCAAAGGGGATACCTTAATTATTTCGTCAGCCTAGGACTCTTACATTCAGCAGCAAACCTGCCATCTCCACCTGGATGTCTTGGAGTCATCCTTGAACACTTCTCTTTCCAGAACTTGTCAGCTCTGAACTTCTAAATATAACCAGAATCTGCCCACTTCTCCCCCTCCACAGCCCATACTCTGGTTCTGCCCGCTTCATCTCCTGCCTGAACTCATGAAAGAGCTTCTGCACTGTTTCCATGCTCTCCCCTCCCCACACTCTATTCTTCATAGGACTATCAGAGGAATTCTAATAAAACCCAAGTCAAGTGACATACTTCCTCTCTCAAAACCCTTCTATGGCTCTTGTATTATTTGGGTAAAAGCAAAAGTCCTTACAGTGGCCTTTAAAACTAAATTATCTGCTATCACCCCTCCTCCATCTCTTGTTGGACCCTATTTTCCACTACTCTCTTCTTTGCTCCCTCCAATCACACTAGCCTCTTTGTGGTTCTGTGAATGATCCTGTCACTGGGCCTTTGCACTTGCCATTTCCACTTTTGGGAACCCTCTTTCCCTCATGGTTCACGCCTTCATCCCTTTAGGTTTCACCTGTTCAAATCTCACCTACCTAAAGAGGCCTTTCCCCATCTAAACTAGTGCTGACCCTCTCTCTCCATCCCCTTAGCTTGCTTTTTCTCCATAGTACTTATCAAGTTACATTGCGCTTATTTATTGTTTGTGTCCCCCAAACTAGAATGTAAGCTTTGTGAAGGCAGAGATGTTTGTCTGCCCTGTTAATTGTTGAATTTCTAGTACTGTGCGCAGGGCGTGGCACATATTAAGTACTTAAGAAATATTACTAAATGAGTAAATGAACCAGCATCTATGGAGCACATTGACTCTATATGGTGTGAAAGTTGTTACTTCAGTACAGGGGGTAGTGGATGGGGTTTGTGCCATCCCTCACCCGGGCTTGAAGTGGCCTTTCCTCACAGCATCTGTGATGCCACACTCTCCTGGTTTTCCTCCTCTCTGGCTGCCCCTTCTCAATATATGTTGATTTCTTTGCTCAAACCTTCTGTGTTCCCTTTCCGTGGAGTTCTGTAGGGTCCTTGTCTCCATTCATCCCACATACCCTCCCCAGGCTAGGTCACTAAATCCCATAGCTTTAATTACCATCTGTGATGATTCTCAAATCTTGGTTTCCAGCCCCAGTTTCTCTGGTAAACTTTGGAACCAGGGGTTGTGCAGTCTCCTGGACTCTGCTGCTGGGTGGCCCACACTGGGCTCAGCATCTTCAGAACCTGCATCTTTTCTGGGTCTTCTTCTCAGGTAGACCCCCCAAGCCCCCAATCTCCCACTCAGAGGACCTAATCTTAGATTTCTCTGTCCATCCCGCCAGTCCCATGGTCAGTTCATTCAGCCTCCTGGGCTCCTCTCCCACCTGCGCCTCCTTTTCTCACAGTCCCACCCTAGTGCAAACGCCCCTCTCCCATCCCAGCAGCTTCCCTGGACTCACGCCACCCAGTTCTATTCCCTCCAATATATTGGGTTGTCGGAAAAGTCATGATGCATGTTTGCGACAGATGGCACTAGTTCATTTTTGGAAGTACTAGAGTCATTCGCATCTACGTTATTGCTATGTCATTTGACAGCTGACAGTTCTAGCTTCATTCTAAGAAAAAAAAATTGAGTGATCTGGTTGCGTTTTGGAGATTACAACAAGTTGAAGATGGAAGACCAAACTGTGCATTTTTGCTATATTTTACTGTTTTACTTCCATAAAGGGCAGAATGCCCGTCATGCTTGTGAAAAGTTGCATAAAGTTTATGGTGACAATGTTCTACAAGAACGTAAGTGCCAATGATGGTTCACGAAATTCCGCACTGGTGATTTTGATCTCAACGACATTCCTCGGTCAGGGAGGCCCACCAAGGTTGATGACAAAATAAAGGCATTGATCGAGTCAAACCTACGTTACACACGAGAGATTGCAGACACATTGAACATCCATCATTCAAGCGTTCATGACCACCTGAAGCTGGGATACGTAAGCAAGCTTGATATTTGGGTTCCACATGAACTCAGAGAAGTTCATTTGACGGTGCGTATAAACATCTGCAATATGCTCATTAAACGTGAGGAAAACGATCCTTTTTTGAAGCGACTGATAACTGGTGATAAGTGGATTGTTTACAACAATGTGGTGCTCAAACAGTCGTGGTCCCAACGTGATGATTCGCTTCAAATGACATTAAAAACAGGCATTCATCAGAGTAAGGTTATGCTCTCAGTGTGGTGGGATTTTAAAGGTGTGTTTTTTGAGCTCCTACCAAGGAACCAAACAATCAATTCGAATGTGTACTATCAGCAATTGGACAGTTTGAACGAATCCATCATCCAGAAACGTCCAGAGCTTAATTGTAAAGGAGTTGTGTTCCATCACGACAACATGAGACCAACACAGGTTTGATCACCCATCAAAAATTACTGGAGCTTGGATGGGATGTGTTGCCACACCCACCATACTCGCCTGACCTTGCACTGTCAGACTTCCACTTGTTTTGCTCTCTTCAAAACTCCTTGCGTCGTATAACGTTCAATTCAGATGAGGCTGTAAATTAGCACCTTGTTCAGTTTTTTGCAAATAAAGACAGGTCTCCTTCTGTGAACGAGGAATTATGACGCTAACTGAAAGATGGCAAAAGGTTATCGAACAAAATGGGCAATTTATCATTGATTGATCTTTGTTCTTTATATAAATAAATGACCTTTGAAAAACATAGACAAAATACTTCATGACTTTTATGACAACCCAACAGAAGCCAGAGATATCTTTCCAAACAACCAACTCACCATGGCTTTTCCCAGCTTGAAGACTTTCCATGGCTCCCTAGTGCTCAAGGGGCAAGTTCAATCTCCCTCAAGCGGCCAAACATCTGGCTGCAGCTTATGTCCCACCACCTCCTGCCTTGAACTCTACACTCCATCCCGACTACGTTTCCTGAGTTCCTCTAAGAAGCCACCTGAGAGCCTTTCTGAGTGAGGGCCCACTCTGCTTGGTTCACCGGAGCCAGGGAAGTTTGTGGAATGAACGAACAGATTACAGTAGCCGGAGCAACAACTCCCACTTATTTACGGCCTCCTTTGTGCCCAGTGCTTTACACGCATCGTCTCTTTCAATCCTATTCCGCTTGAGAAAGGAAGCAACAGGCTTAGAGACGGATGCGCTGAGAAAGTGACTCCAAAGGCCTGAGAGCCGACCTACACTATCCGGGCAAAGGCGTCTTAGGCGGGCGCGCTGAGGGGCGGGCCTTGAACGCCAGAATCAGGAATTGTGACTTAGCGCCGGGCCGCTAATGTAGACGAGCACGAGACTGCCCCCTATGGGAGGGGAGGCCCAATGCCTGGCTCTGCCGGGCCCGTTGCCCGTGGCAACGCCTCGCGCACCCCGCCCCTTCCCCGCCCGCCGGGTCGCCTGCACGTCAGCCCCTTGGCCGACCAATCCCACGGAGTAGGGGGCGGGCCTTCCAAGCCTCGTCCAGCCCCCGTTGCTCCCCTCACCACTAGGACCCCGCCTTCCTCGGCGCTCACCGCCCGCCCTTCGCGCTGCCCTCGCCGTCCGTTGGCGGGCTCGCTGTTCGTCACCGCGGCGCCTGCTAATGCCGACGCGCGGCGGCCCCCGTCGGGGCGGGGCCAGGGGCGGTGACGTACGGCGCGGTGACGCAGCGCGACGGCGGCGGTGGCGGCGGCGGCGGCGGCGGTGGTCGGTGCGGGAGGAGGGAGGGGAGCTCGCGGGCCGAGAGGGGGCGACGGCTGTGGCGGTGGCCTGAAGAGGCCCGGGCGGCGGCGGCCAAGGCGGCCAAGGCGGTGAGTCGCGGGCAGGCCGGGCGGCCATGGGGCGGTGGCGGGTCGGGGCGCGTGGGGCTCACCTCAGGGCGCCCCAGGCCGCCGCGCGGGCGGCCCCGCCCCCTCAGGGACCCCGAGCCGCGGGCGAGCGCGGAGCGCGGGCCTCGGGGGTCCTAGCCCCGGAGAGAAGCCCCCACTCCCGTCCCCCGAATCGCCCTCACAGGGCGCCTCAGAAGCTTCCCTTCCAGATCCCCCTCACACCCTCGGGATCGACCCCGCATGTCTACCTCAGACATTTCTTTAGAGGGCGGTCACCGGCGCCCCCAAATCTCTCTCAGAGACCCCCTGACAGCCTCCATCCCACCCCCTCCTTTGGTCCCAGGTCTTCCCGGGAGCCCACCCCTTCCATTCCCACAGGCTTCTCCAGAGACGACCTAGGTCTTCGAAATCGGCCTCAGAGAACCCCCGCTCTGGCCCCAGTCCTCCATCCTCCTCCTCTTTCCAGAAATATTCCCTGAGGCCACTCCTTGGATATTCCAGCAATATGTGTCAGATGTCTTCTCCAGGAGCCTCCCTCGGAAGCCCTAAAACCCTCCTTCAGAGTCTCCCTCAAATATCCTCCAGACCCAGCATTCCCAGAATCTCCCCCAGAGACCGACTTCGCATTGGTCCACAGTCTCCCCCAGACTTCCCTCTCACACATCCCAGGAATTTTGCCTCTCGCCTGCCCCCATACCAGAAATCGCCTGAGAGATTTTCCACTCAGCCCCCAAATCCCAGAACCCCTCCCAAAAAATCCTTCAGAATGCCCCTAATGTGCCCAGAAAGTCCTCCTTAGAGACTGAAATGTCCTCAGATCCCCAAAACCCACCTGGAGGACCCGCCACCACCAGCCATCTCCCATATACACCCCTCCCCACCCCGGTCACATATCCCTGAAGTTATACCTTTGGACCCTTCCACAGATCCCAGCAAGCTCTCCCAGAGACCTCCTTATATCCCTTAAATCTCACCACCCTGAAATGCCCTAGAGATCACCCCCACATACCCCAAAAATCTTTCTCTGTGACCCCGCTCACTTATCCCAAAAATCTCCTCCAGAGAGTCTCTGAAGCCTATGGCAAACTCTTCTCCCACATTCCAAAAGCCTCTTCCAAAACCTCTTTTGTGTATCCCAAGTCTTACCCAGTAACCCACACCAAATGTTCCAAAAATTGCTTCTTCAGGATTGCAAAAAGTTCCCTTGTAGTTTCTCTATACAATCCCCCCTTCTAGACCTACTTCTAGATGAACTTTCTAAACAGCCCCTTCACGACCCCTGTAAACCCTAAGACCCTCTTCATGATCCCTCTGAGGTGCAATTTTTCAAGATCTCACATCTTCTCAGAGACCCCAGCAACCTCTCTTGAGCCCTCCTGAGGTGTGCCCTTGAAATCCCTCCTAGAACCCTTTCCAACACCCTCCAGAACCCCTTGAATTACCACTCAGAGACCTCCTGCCTTACTCAGAGACTTTTTCTAGAGGTTTTCCTTGAACTCTCCTTCACAGGTTCCCTCAAACTCTCTGTAGAAGACCTCTATCCCCGCCACTGCCAGTCTTCCCTCAAAATAACCCTCTGAGCGCCTGCTCTTAGAAAGTCCCAGAATTCTTTCTGAAAAACCCTCTACTCTGACATTCCCGCATTCCACTCAGAAGACCCACCTTCCCCATACACCCTTTTGAGAACTTTACTCAGAGTAGTTCCTAAAAAGACCTCTGTCACCCTGCTTTAGTGCATCTAAGGTCTCTCTCAGAAGACCACACCTCCCCAGATACCCTTTAGAGAATTTCTTCCAAAACTGCCCTGTGTCAACAACCCAAACCCCAACTTCATGAGACTTCTTCAGAACTCTCCCTCAGAATCCCCCTCTGATATCCCCAAGAAACCTTATCCAGGACCCTATCAGATTTACTCCTTTTAGAACCCCTATTTACACCCTCTCATCTCCATTCTTTTTCCTCTGAAATCAATTTAGAGAGACCCTTCGCAGATCTGAGTCTCCTTCCCCCATTATCCCTTCATAGGTCCCCACCATCTTCCAAATATTCCCCCCCACCAAGAGGCTCCATGTCCCCTTTCAATAAAAAGTTCCCCAAGAGACACCCTCAGCCCCTGAAATCCCAGTCCTCAGAGACCTTTCTCTCAGGTTTCATCCTCATAGACCTCCCCCCTCTACTTCCTTCAGATCTTCCCTTCAGAGATCGAGAGACCCTAACTCCCTCCTTAGAGACTATTTGAGGACTCCCCCCATTTTCCTTTCAGAAGCCTTCTCCTTCCTTTTCACGTTTGAGGGCCTCCTCACTAAAGAATTGCTTCCCCTATAGCAGTGGTCCTCAAAGTGTAATTCCTGGACCAGAAGAATCTGCATCACCTGGGTACTCGTTAGAAATGCCAATTCTTGGGTCCCAACCCAGACCTACTAAATGAGAAAACCTGGTAGTCGGACCCAGCAATCTGTTTTTAGGCACCCTCCTGGTGATTCTGCTGCATGCTCAAACTTGAGAACCACTGTCCTCTAGGAGGATTTCCCTTTCCTCACAGAAAGCCCTCGAAAGATGCCTCAGGGTGTACCTCTGTGCCTTACTGCCCACCCCCATTTTCATGGGTGTACCCTTTGTAAAGTGAAGTACCCATCCTCCAGAAAGAATCCTTACTCTCCTCAAAAGGCTTCTGGCTTCTCCACAAGGTTACCCCACCCTTTGAGCAATTACTTCACATTCTACCTTTATATGGTTCCCTTTCAGATCTTCCTCAGCACTTTCTCCTACTGACTTCCCCTCCAAACTGTCTTCCAGCCTTTGGAGCTTCTGCTTCAAATTGGTACTTCCTCGAACACACACATGTCCAGCTCTTCTCATCTATTCCTCATTTATGCTTCACATAGGCACCCTCTCCTTAAGGCACCTGCAAATACTTCCATTTTCTGTGTCTTACTGCCCAGAGCCCTCCGTTGTACTTCTTAGAGCACCACTCACCTTCTTTCTTGTAGTTTTTCATGTACTTGCCCACTCACCTTCACTGGACTCGGAGTTTGGAAAGTACTGAGATGTGTCTTGTTCCTCTGTGAATCCCACAAGGGATCTGCCATCTTGTAAGTTATTGGGAATCACTGAAGAATGGGCAGCTCTTCTTGCGTTTGGCCAGAAGTCTCTAAGTTCCTTAGATCTCACTCCCCACTCAGGTTCAACACATCTTCTTGCCCCTTCCTCTCCTCTTCCCTCATTTCTTCTCTACCCAGCCCCCTTTGCCTCTCCTGTCTGCCCCACCTGCTCCTGTCTAGGGGACTTTTCTTCGAGCTTTCTCCTGATTCTCAGCTACCCAAGTCCTATTCCTGATGACCTTCCTCACCCCATCCTGGTTGGCTTCTCAGCCATCCACAGGGCTCTCAACTTTCTCCAAGGGATTCTGCTTATCTCTGGGGTTGAGAAGAGGAAACAAAGATCACAGGGTGAACACTGGGGCCTGCCTTCAGGGTGCAGTAGCACAGTGCAGTAGAGGGGTTGAGCAGGTACACAGGGCAGAACATGAAATACAAATTATATGTTGTAGAAATTTGGCAATGAGCGAAGAAACATTCTATCTGGAAATGCTTTATAGAAAAGGTGGTATTTGGGCTGGGTGGTGTTCCACAGGAGTTGGGACAATGAGTAGCCTTCCAGGCAAAGGATACAGCTTATACAGTGGGTCAAAGACAAAAAAGCCCCCTTGTCTGTCACCTGTGGCATCTCTTCTCTTCCCATAAAGGACAGAGATAAAAGAGATCTCTTTTGTCTGCATCGTATTTGCCAGCTGCACTTTAGTGACCCAAAGGGTAATAATATTAATGACTACTGTTTATTGAGTAATTATTATGTAGCCATCACTGTTTAAGGGTTTCACATGTATTGTCTCATCTCATTCACAGGAACCCTATGGGGTAGGTAAACTACAATTATCCTCATTTTACAAAGGATGAAATTGAGGACAGGTGGCACAAATAGAAGTTCTCTGGGCCCTGTCCATCCCAAGATCATAGTGTCTGGAGTCAGAGAGTTGGATTTTCTGTTCAGATAGGGTTGGGAGCATTGGTGCATTTTAGTGTAGTGGTTAAGTGTGCAGATTCTGGAGCCAGACAGGATTTGCTTCCCACATCATCACTTACCAGTTTTGTGATCCAAGACAAGTTACTTAACTTCTTTGGTCCTCAGTTGCCATGGCTAAAAAATGAAGGTGATGATATCCTGCTTCATAAAATTATTATAAGGATTAAATAAGTTAATACATATAAAGTACTTAGAACAGTGCCCTGCACATAAGTTCTTAGTGTTTGCAAAACAAAAACAAAACCAAAAAAAATAGCTCATATCAGCCAGGACTCTAAAGATGTAAGTGACAGAACCTTCACTACTC